ATCTTACATTTGTGTTTATAAGAGCTGAACGTGCAGAAAGGCATCCAAGTACATACAAAGCACATTGTTAAATACATTTCAACACAAATTAGGCAAGTGTACAAATAAAAAATAGAAACAAAAAGTTAAAATATGCCCTTCAAAAGCCTTAGTGCACAGACTGAACTGCCTTTTTTTTTTAGATAACCTCCCTATTAACAGTAATTTTCTGAGTTGCATTGATTATGTTGTGTAAAGCAAGAGGAACTGCTTATATTCACATTTTCAGCAGTGAATTACTGGTCAGTCAGCTATAGTCATGAAGGTACAAAGCTGCTGGTCTATATACAATCTCCCTGCACGTATTCAACTATCTGCTGCTTTAGACACAAGCATGAGGACTAAAGATATCTTCAACCACGAAAACACTTTCCATTTTGAGGTATACGCTCGAATTCAGAAAGCTGTAGCTAATGCTACAATGCTCCACAGCTTAGTTGTACATATTTAAAGAAAGGGCACTGATGTGACTGAGCAGACATGGTTTTATTTAAATTGGTTGGAAACTGGCTGGACTTGGCAGTCATGCTCTGATTTAGATGCAAAAGTGTGGGAAATAAAACCCTGGTTAAATACAGAAAAGAAAACCAAAACGGTGTGGGTGGTGATCTAGAAACCCAGCGGATGAGGAGACACCACGCCTCCGTTCTCCACCACCGCAGCAGAGATGGACCTCATGTTGTTGAAGAGCCGTTTGGACTCACCGGAGCGCAGGAGCTTTATGTCCCGCATTACCCTGTCATGAGCCTGGAGGAGGAAGAGGGGAGATCACCACATTTACTGGTTAGGATTCCACATCAAAGGAAGAGCACAGAGCCAGGGGTGCTTATGACTTTTTTACTCTAAATTAACCAGAATCAAACTATACCTTGTATCCATTTTTGAAGCAATATTTAATATAATTACCAATAAAGATACATTTTTTTTATACAATTTCACATTTCTCAAAAGGGGTTTTGGGATAAAAGCAACTGTAAGCATTTGTAAAAGATGTAATAACTAAAAGAAAAATAAATGGGCTGTCTTTCTCAGAATCATTGTCCTGCTGGGTTCAAGGTTCAACAGTCTGAAAACAGCACGTTTAAAACAGTTTGGTGAATCCTGTTTAACATGAAGCCACGACAGACGCCTCTAAAGGCTGGTTATCCTCCCGCAGCAGTGTGTCGCAGTGAGCTTCATGCAAATATCTTTCATTTATGCTCAATTTTGAAACATGGTCGGCGATATATTATTCCACGCCACAAAGCAAGAGGAACAATGACGAACTAGCTGGGGTCTTAGATACTGCCGAGGCGGTGAGGAAGTGGGGGCAAGTTTGTGTGACAATGGAGGAACACAAGGGCGAAAAAGAGCGGGGATCCAGGTGGAAAAAGGGTCCCAGCGTTCTCGTACACCTCGCTTTTCTAGCCGGTCCATCTTCACAAGACGTTTCCCATAATGGCGGTTATACAAACAACACAAGCCAGTAAGGTACCAAACAGGAAACACGCATAGGGTAGAGCGGATGTAGATTTGACCAATCAGAGGCCTCATGTCTGCAGTCACCTACAGTTTTGGAGAGATGCAACAGAGTGTCTGCGGAAGGGGCGGAGGCAAATCTGCGTTAACTGTGACACCCACCCAGACGACCTAGTTTCTGAGCATAAACCAGCCTTTAGGCTACATTCACCCTGCAGGCCTTAATGCTCAATGCTGAGTTATTGTTAAATTAGATTATTATTATATTTTTTTTTTTGCGTTTGCGTTCACATCTGCAATTTGTACATCCTGTGTGCACTGCATTCATGCAATACAAGTATCCAACATGCGCAGTTTACCTGTGTTTACACAGGGAAACATGAATGGCAGTGCTGGAGCGCATCAAGCGATCTTTCCAAACCTCTTTCCAAGATGGCTTAAAAAAAAAAAAAAAAAAGGCTGCCATCCGCATTATTGTCCTCCATGGTTGTTGTTTTTCTTCCCGCTTCTGCGTAGCAAGACCCAGAATAGTGACCTTTGTTGAGTATTAATGACGTTCAGGTCGCATTTGAAAAGATCCAATACATATCGGATTCAGGACCATATAGCCAAGCGGAATGGGTCGCATTGAAAAATATCAGATTTGTGTTGTTGAGAATGTCATATTAAGATCAGATCCAGGTCGCATATGGGCAAAAAAAAAAAAAAAAAATCGGATTTGGATCATTTCATTCTGCAGTGTGAACGTAGCCTCTGAGTGCTTCTTCAGAAAGGCATTTTTTTGGTTTTTCTATCTTCCTCTAAACCAACCAGAAGGTTGGAATTGAATCCTAACTGGATGTTCCAACCAGAAAACCCACATTCAAACTGATAACATTGATCTTTATGAAGACCTCAACCTTTTGCACAAAGAAGAAGAAGCAAAGAGGCTAAGAAGCCACATGGAGATCGAACCTTAAGTCTAAACTGGTTTGGTTAGCATTAGCCAACATATCAACTGCCTGGAAAAAGGGGACAGAAACAGAGACAGAAGCTAAACCTGTATTTAAATCGTTAAAATTGTTTGTCTTTAAGAATTCCAGCCGTTACTTTAAGGTTTGTTGTTTTATTGTTTTTTTATCTTTTAATCCTTCGGATACACTTTAAATCTGGTAAGTGGTTTCGTTCAATTTAAGTTTAACATTTGACTGATGGAATCAGGTCATAAGAAACCACAGCAGCCTAGAAGAACCACGAGATGAACACATAAGCACAAAGCTTAAACTAAAACTCATTTATGTTTATGCATTTGGCAAACAATTTTATCCAAAGCGACTTACAAAGTAGGCATTAAGGCCAGAACCCACCAGTTTCATGACTTACTAATCTCTGATCAGATTTTTTCCCGTGTCACACTGACTGCATATAGAGAGGCTCCGACTAGGGAGGGTGAGCAGACCTGCACAGATTCCTTCACTTCTGTCTCTGTGCTGTACACAAAATCAATTTCCCATGTTTGACTTAGACAGAATATGAAGTCAAGCCCAACTTAACAAGTCTGTGCAGAATCTCCACACAGAACAGATGGAGAATGTTCGTATGCCTAAAGTGAAAAAATTAAGAAAAACAGCAATAAACACTGTGGGATGGTTTATATGCTGACTGAGGCAGAGAAGTGATTCTCAGAGAGATCTGGGAAGTTATAGAAGCTTTTCTTTTTTTCATAAAGAGGTGAGATACGCCGTTCTTAGCTGATCTGTCTGCCTCGTTATTTTGTTTTCTGTGAGGCTTAAAGAGGACCAGCATTTTACTATATCTGTTTTTTTTTTCTTACTGAATTTATTTTTCTGAGGAGATTGATAAACTGCGCTTCCTGTCCTTCATTGTTTTTTCGAGGCTCAAAGTGGATCTCTATATCAGTTTTCTGTCCTCCTGAGCTCCTGACATAGGTAAAGTATTCTTTTAAATGTTTCCTTTATTGTTTTTGCTTGAGTCTTTCCTGCTTGCTATATACGCAATGTGCGACGGCAAAACTGACTCTTTCCCTGTGCGATTAACAGATTTCATGTTTTTCAACGAGTGCTAAACGCCTTGACTTCGTTTGACGCGATTTTCTGTCGGATCGGACGCGAAATCAGATTGGGTGTGTTCTGTCCTTTAGCATGAAGGGTCTTGCCCAAGGACCCAAATTGGTAGCTCACTTTAACAATCCTAGCTAGAAAAAAAAACAGGAAAAAAAATCTAAAACGTGGATTAAAATAATATTGATTAAACTCAAACAGTAACTAATAAGACCATGGAAACAAACTAAACAAGAATCACTTTAATATTCCTCTCATTTAACTGTATTTGATCCAAATTGGACCCATAAACTAAACCTCGGTGGTGTAGAGGGCCTTACCTCCATACACCAGGTGTCACACAGCATCTTCTCATGCTGAGCTGAGGGATGGCTCTGACTCAGAGAGCGAGAAGCCCTGCAGAGAGTAGGACGAACAAAACCAGAACAAAACAAGAAATCTGTTCAGAGTTGATGGAGGTTTATAAGCAGAGCAAAGGAGGAGGTGAGAGCTTCTCAGTGGGAGGAAAAAATAAGTGAAACTGTGTCAACTGCAGAGAGGAGGCGAGGTTTGCAAACCTGGAGAGGACGACCACCATGGCGTAGAGGTCGATGGCGCAGTCAGCGACCCGCTTTAACACAAACTGCTCGTCTGTAAAAGAGATTAAAGTTTACTGAAGATGACGAACCACAACCAATCAGATCTACGAGCCAAACCCCAACACTCACCGATGATCTTCTTGCCGTGTTTGACCAACAGCTCCTCGATGACGGCTCCAAACTGCTCGATGGCTTTCACCGTCTGGAAGGCGGGCAAAAAAAATAAAAATAAAAAACATGCTTAGAGGACGAGGCCACGTGCCACACAACACTGCACTCAGATGGCTGAGGCTCTAAAACAGGATTAGAAATGAAAACAGCCCAACATCTGTTTATTTTAAGGTGACTGGTATCAAGAAACGTGTAATAAGAAAGAATTCAACCTTCTGTTTACTTGAGGAAACTATTAAGCCAAAGTTTTTTTTTTAAATGACCACTTCCCTTCAAAACAGGAAAGAGATGAAATCATGTATTCGGTTCAGTCAGAAATTGGTTAACTCAACCAACTGAGAACACAGTGATTATTTTTACTGTAACCACTTGAGCTTTTGTGGAACACTGCAGAGGCTACATCCTCATGAATCCACACGGAAAAAACCCTAAGTGTAAAGATGAAACCTGAAGCCGAAGCTACAATAGGTGTAATACTTCTGCCATGCCAGTGGGAGGCAGGCTAGCGTTCACACACGGGTAAAGAAGGAAGGGAGATGTATGCTGAGTTCGACTTCGGCGGCCAGATTTGTTGGCCGATTACGTTATACCGCGTCATAGACGTCTGTTCCGATTGGAAGAATCATCATCAAGCAGCCAACAAATGCAGCCTCCTTTTTGCCTGTTTTGAAGGATGGGTCGGAGTATTCTATGTATTATTAGGTATCCTGAGATTTATTGTGAGTCCAAGCAAGCTGTCTGCTGCGTGCTCAGCGGAAAAAGGAAAATGGCGCCGAACAGAGGTGAATATTTTAAGTGCAGTTTAATATAATCCAAGTATGTGAATAGTTCCATCTGAAATTAATGACATTAAATGGTTATTGAGTCAGATATGTGGCGGGTAATGTTTGGTTTATTCAAAGCTTTCATTTCTCCCTGTGCAAATTGGTTTGGCAGACATTTAAGGAGAGATTCTAATATCTCTGCAGTGTGGGGACTACAAATATGATATTAATGATGACAGTACTGCTGCTGAACCACCTTAACAATGTTCTTAGCACCCAGAACAGTAGTTTCGGTATCTATTCTTTGCCTGCTTTTTGGCCGACTCAAAAGAACGCGAGTGTGGACTTGTGTCCTCATCAAGTATGTTATTGAGAAAAACACAGGAATATATATGGGGGAACGGGAATATATGGAATATATGGGGGAACGGAAGAGAAGCTCGTGAAATCACCAGACGCTCGGCTCATCTGGAGCTGCATTTCACCTCCTGTCATTAATAGCCTCTAGGTAATAATAAATTCTTCCTTTTTTCATTTAGTGGGGGAATAATAATAATGATTAACACAGTCAGGTAAAAAATAAGAATCCCAAACCTACCAGATCGCCGCTTTGTGCCAGGTCAGGATGGATGCTTCCCTGCAGACTCAAACCTGTGCTCAAACCTGCCTTTCTGCAAACAGAAGAAAAGGATTAAATCAACTCTTCCAATGCTAATCCAACATCTGACTCCATTAATCCCTTCAAGTATGAAATATAGACTTATAGCACAGAAGAAGAGATACGTCTGGATGCAGGTTCTCTGCTATCAGCAATGAACAAACTATCTTCTGCCAGGCAGCTTTATAAATAAGGAAGTTGTTCTTAAACCCACGAGCTGTGGTGTTAGATGGCAGATAAAACAAACATAAGCTGTAAAAGAAGGGAAATGACAGCAAATAGATACACTTCTTGCAGCGCTTTGTATGGAACTGGAGCCTCCATATCTCCCACCATCATCAGCAGTTTGTGTTTGTTCCTGGTAGATGCTTTAGAGAGAAAATGTAGAGCAACCTTTTGGCTCTCTTTGTGATCTCTGCCGTCAGCAGCCCAGCATTTCCGAAGGGGTTCTTCAGCGCCTTCTGTAAGCTCTTCAGGTGGTTTCCTGCATTCTGCAAAAACGCAAAGACAAGCAACAGACACAGGTAAGTGTTTGTTGGGAAGTTTCATCGCTTTATCGTTGCACTTTTTTTGCATTCATAGGGGAACACGACTGACTGCTGTCCTGTCAACATGACAGTTCCTCCTGAGCAGCAGACCTGCGCAGACTTCAGATTTTAAAACCAAGCTGCAAGGCCCAGAGAAGAAAATGAGGAAGAACGGTTTCCAAATGTAAGCAAAAATGAAATGCGGAGAGTAAAAGAAAAAAAGAAAAAAAAAACAAAAAAAAAAACCTAACTTCCTCCACTGTGTTTTCGAGCTTTATCAGACACGGTTTCTCACAACCGCAACAAATGCTACTGAATTCATAGCTGAAAGCTCTTACGGTACCTGGAAGCCATTGAGCGCCACAAAGAGCCTCAGGATGTCGTTGGTGCCTTCAAAGATTCGGAAAATGCGTAGATCCCTCATCACCCGCTCCACTCCAGATCCCTGCGGGAGTACAAGCAAACATTTCCTTTATATTTGTTTTTTTTGGGGGGGTTTTAGTATTCCCTAAAAAAATAAAACAGAGAGATTCCTATAGAAACTTTCACAGAAATCACATCTCCTTTTGCTTTAGTGACCTTAGAAGTTTATTGTTAATTTGAGTTTCGTGTGAAATGTCATGTTTGAATCTATTTACGTGGGACACACCCCGACAGCAGCCGTGGCAAAGTGGGACAAAGACTCTTTCCCCTTTAGGTGCTTCTGAACACTCACTGCCAGGACCCAAAGCAGCACAGAAACTAAAACTGACACAAAGGGAGAAGTTTCTCTGCTGAAGTGAAACTTTGAGTCAAAATGCACGAAATCTGCAAAAATCTTTCCAGTGTCACTCATTTGTGTGTGAATAGTCCCAAATGATCTGTGATTAAACAATCACTTCACAAACTGATCATTAAATCACTGAAACGATTGTTTATCTCAGAGTTTGAGTCAAAAAGGGGAACTTTCATATTAGACAGAATCACTGCACAGAGTGGAGTATCTTAAGTATATATTATATTATATATTTGACCAATACAAAGCTGCTGCTGCTTCTCTACACTTTTCTAATAAACGTTTTCCTTCCACTCAACTTTCTGATCACATATCCTATAAGATCTGCAATGGCAACAAATATCAATATCAGTCTGATGTAATATTCAGATTTTCTGAGCTTCCAAATGTTTGGTTGTTAATCAGAATATAAAAGTTTAACTTTCTAGTCTATTGTGATGCACCTGCAGACATTTTTGGCTGAACATGTTTAACTGTAGCAGTTTTTTTTTGTGTGTGTGAGTTTGTTTTGCTGTAATTGTTGTGGGGAATATGCATGTTTAAGGTCGACCTCTGCATCGGGTAAAACTCTGTAGGTGTTGTTCCATCGCTGGGCTAACCTTCCAGTTTCAGAACAGGCTCCAGCCCAACCGTGCTGCACAGTCTGGTTTATTTTAAGCAACCCGACATAAATGTTTACAGAGTTTCACTTCGCCCACATTTCTTCAGCTAGCATGAGGCCGCAGTCACTTTTGAGCAGGTTTTGTAAGAGTATGAAAAAAAAACAGGAGAAGAAAAAAAAGAAGAAGGAAAAAGAGAGTGGTTTCAGTTTTGCATGTTGCAACACAGACCAACAGCAGCCTATATATATATATATATATGCACACACACATACGTTATATACAGCGAGGAAAATGCGTATTTAAACACCTGGCTATTTTGCAAATTCTCCCACTTAGAAATCATGTAGAATATAAAATTGTCATTGTAGGTGCATGTCCACTGTGAGAGATGTAATCTAAAAAAAATCCAGATATCACAATGTAACATTATTTAACAATTTATTTTTATGATACAGTTGCAAATAAGTATTTGAACACCTGTCTATCAGCTAAAATTCTGACCCTCAAAGACCGGTTAGACTTCAAAATGTCCACCTTCACTCCATTTATTATCCTACATTATTGTTTGAGGTTGTTGCTGCATAAAGACACCTGTCCACTCTATACAATCGGTAAGAATCCAACTACTACCATGGCAGACACCAAAGAGCTGTCCAAAGACACTAGAGACAAAATTGTAGACATTCACAAGGCTGGAAAGGGATAAAAGCAGCTTGGTGAAAAAAGGTCCACTGTTGGAGCAATCATTAGAAAATGGAAGAAGCTAAACATGGACTGGGGCTCCATGCGAGGTCTAACCTTGTTGGGTCTCAGTGATCCTAAGAAAGGTGGGAAATCAACCCAGAACTACACGGAGGAGCTGGTCAATGACCTGAAAAGAGCTGGGACCACCGTTTCCAAGGTTACTGTTGGATATACGCTAAGACGTCATCATTTGAAATCATACAGGGAAGTTTCCCCTGCTTAAAGCAGCACATGTCAAGGCCTTTTTTAAGTTTGCCAATGACCATTTGGATGATCCAGAGGAGTCATGGGTGAAAGTCATGAAGTAATTCCGCTAACCGTGTTTGGAGGAAGAAGAATGATGAGAACACCATCTCTACTGTGAACCATAGTTGTGGTTGAGGGTGTTTTTCTGCACATGGGACAGAGCAACTGCTCTGTATTAAGGAGAGGATGTCCGGGGCCATGTATTGTGAGATTTTGTGTAACAAACTTCTTTCCCCAGTTAGAGCATTGAAGATGGGTAGAGGCTGGGTCTTCCGACATGACAATGACCCGAAGCACACAGCCAGGATAGCCAACTCTGAAAGAAGCAACCTAGCCAGTCTCCAAACCTAAACCCAATAGAGAATCTTTGGAGGGAGCTCAAACTCCATGTTTCTCAGCAACAGCCCAGAAACCTCACTGATCTAGAGAAGATCTGTGTGGAGGAGTGGGCCAAAATCCCTCCTGCAGTGTGTGCAAACCTGGTGAAAAACTACAGGAAACGTTTGACCTCTGGAATTGCAAACAAAGGCTGTACCAAATATTAACATTGATTTTCTCAGATGTTCAAATACTTATTTGCAGCTGTATCATAAAAATGACTAGTAAAAAAAAAAAAAATCATACATTGTGACTTGTGGGTTTTTGATTATGTCTCTCACTGTGGACATGCAGCTTTCTAAAGGGAGAACTTGCAAAACAGCAGGGTGTTTAAATACTTATTTTCCTCACTATATATATATATATATATATATATATATATAAAAAAAAAAACCTGCTCAGTATTAGGGCTAAGCTAGAGGAACCTGAAGATAATAAAACCTGGGAACCTTCTTGAAGGTAGGCTGATTTATGAAGCAGGAGAAGTGTTGCTATAACTCCTATCCGTGCTGCCAACTTGTTCACAAAGTTTATAGATTCCCAACGTTTCAAAGAAGTGGAAGTGAAAACAACCAGCATGCCTGACTGGAAACCATCTGGCACCTGTCTGCTATTATACAAGCTTGCTATTGTCAGCCGGGGAAGTTGAATGTTACTATAATGCTCCTCCCGTCTTCCTAATATTGATTCAGCGAGTATTTTCTGATACTTGGAGATACCCCGATTAACCACAGAGCAGCAGGCAACAGGAGTGACTGCCGATAAACATGGTTTCTTAGAAATGAATAGAGAAAATACTCAGAAGGCTTCCAAAAGCAATATACATTTGTCGGGCTATTATAAGGATTGGAACTCAATGCTAATCCAGTCATTTTGAATTTAAAAAGGTTCCTGGAAGGGAAGCGAAACATCTTCAAACTTGGAAGTCCAGTGGTTTGTTTATTTTTTATTTTTTTACTTTTTTAGAATGACTATTATTCAAAAATAAAAGAACCCAGAACAGAAAATGCTGTCTATATATTTCATCAATATGCCTAGAAAAACATATATAAACACCATAGCTATCATTTTCCATTTCTTTTACAGGTTAAATCAATGCTCAGTTTAGTAAAGCTTCCAAGCTGAGGGTCTACAGCACAGAGCCTCTTAAACCTCCTGCAGTTTCATCAATGACATTCCTGCTGTTAATGTTATGATCCTGAGCCGTTTATTCTTTCTTTCGACAAAGAATTGGAAGAAGTTTTCGTGTCTGGTTTAGGTTTTGGTTTAGACCAGGCTGTGGAGAGAGCACTCACCTTCATAAAACCCATTCCTCCCATGACCTGAATACTCTCGTCAGTCACGGTCCACGCTGCTTCCTGTTGAGGTAAAAAAACAAAAAACAAAACACCACTATTAGAGAAACAAAAATACACCAATAAAACCACTATATATTAAAATCAGCCCCCCCCCCCACCCCAACATGCTTACTTCTTCTTGGACCGTTGGCAGAAAGCGGAACGCGCATATTGCACAAGACATGCTAAGCATTCACGGTTTCACAACTTTAAAACTGCATGGAGAACGCTGAGTTTTTTGTGACACTTAGTGGGTAAAAGTTGATAAAAATATCATTGTCCACTACTTCGACCCGTTCGGTTCAGATGTGTTAGTTGTCAGTTCTTACAGAAGCGAAGATCTTGCTGATGGCAGCTTCTATCTGGAAGTCTGTGGCTCCGCTGTCCATGTTCCCGCTGATCATGTAGGCCATCGACTGCAAACACAATGCCGTCTGTGAGCTGCTTGATTCTAATGCACATTCTGGCAAACTTGTTTGCAATAGTTAACCAGCAGTCTATCAGTTTTGATCTAAACAGTATGAGAAGGCTGAATTCAACTACAAGTATAAGAGACATGTGATTAGGCTGCAGGAGAGGGTGATAAACATCCGCTTTCAGATAAGCTGACCTCTGTCACATAGTGCAGCATGGCCATGCGGGCCATCTTCTCCTGAATGGCTCCGTAGGTGTGGATCTTGTTCCCGAACTGGGTTCTGTTGGCTGCATGATCGATCTGATGAAGAGAAGAATGAGCAGAAAATAACGTCACAACAGACCAAAAATAGCAGCTCCTTAAACCATGACTAGGGACTAGATTTATGGGGTTTTGTCTCAATATTTAGCAAAAAATCATCAATAACAAAAAAAAGTGAAGTTTTAACAGCTCCTGGTCAAGAACCAGCAAATGTGTTTAGGTGAAAAAAAAAATAAATAAATAAATATCATGGATTAAAATTTCTAAACTTCAAAATAAGAGCCTCAAACTGTGTTCTGAGATTTGAAACATTGATCAGGAAGTAGTGTTTGTAAAAACAAAGCAGGATCAAAGCTGAATAAGTGGTGTTTTCTGGTTGCAGATGCTCATCCTGGGTAATTTGTTCTTTTAATCAAAAAAAAAAAGCTGAAACCTGTTAAATCTTCTAGAAACTGTTTATCATGAGTGATGCACAGCAGACAGAAACCAGGCACGTCTATTTGTTTGTTTCACCTGAAGCAGCAGCTGCACCCCTTCCAAACTTAACCGATAATTATAAATGTTACTAAATCTCTGCTCAGAAATCCATTGTGGGAGTGTTTTTACCAATGAATGGTCTCTCAGTCTGAGTTCATACGCCGTAGAATGCCTAATGCTCTGCTATTACAGCGCCATCATTGCTTAAACAAGCAGCTGTAAACAAGCAGCCATTATAATCAATGAGAGCATTTATAGTGCATCCGCACTTTAAACTGAACCTGATTTTTTTTCTCTATTTACACCAAATAACTAAAATAGCCACTAAAAGAGAGGCGTATATTTTTTGTGTCTGCTGTTGAAGTGATTAATTTACGTTATGCATAATATACACATTGAATGCAATAATATAAGCAAAACATACGTTACTTATTTATAGTGGAGTCATTTTGCTGTGAAAACAAATTCCTATAGTAAATCTAGATGCAAAAATCAAAGAGGGAAGGAGGGGCGACAGTGGCGTCGGATGTAGGCGCCATTGGTGGCAAACTACGTTGGCAACAATGTAGTTTGCCACACATCAGTGTGTGAGTGTGTGAGTGTGTGAATGTAGTGTAAAACGCTTTGGTCAAGTCTCCTAAAAAGCACTATATAAGTATAAGGCCATTTATCATTTACTAAGGAGATTTAGACTGTTGCTTTACAGCACTCTTCCAGTTGCTTTGGTCTTAATCGGCATAAGACGTGCATGCGGGTCTTAAGGGGAGAATACAGCTGACAAGTTGCAGTGCGTAAATGCAGCAAAGCAGCATGCGCTATGCATATGTTGATCGATTGATTGACTTTGCTGATCTCACAGTGGAGAAATGGACTCCTTACATCAGCTCAAATAGTCAAATCTATGGCAGTAGTGGCTCGTTTTCTTATACAGCTGACAAGAGGTGGGGTATGAAAGAGGGGGGGCAGCAAAGGACCACAGGTCGGATTCGAACCCGGGTCGGCCACGTTGAAGAGTAGGGCCTCCATATATGTGTCGTGCACCACCAAACCACTGTTCCACCGAAGCACGCACCCAACCGCCTTTCCCACGGGAAAATGATTTACACTCTCCGTACATACGATTCATCAAATTTAGGCTGAGGTACTAATTTCAGATCAGAGAAGAATCCAGTAATCTGTGTCTTTAAAAACAAAGCCTGATAGTGATTTCATAGGTCACTCATATACAGTATAAGTAATTAAATTAGTCACTCATGTAGATAAGGTTCTCTGCTCAGTACCCATGGCTATCTGAACGAACTCTGTAGTGCCAACTATGAATTTCCTGTCTTAACAGAACCAAGGCCGTGACATTTCCCTCTTTATAAATATGCAGCGAAGCCGCGCCGCTTCTGCTCTCTGCAAACACAGGTCTGTTTACGTCTTTAGATGTTGGTTCTAAATAACAAAAACTGATCTTTTTTATGCTTTTACATTGTTTAAAACTGAAATACTTGAGGAATTCTATTCAGAGGGCGAACACAAAATGAAATGAAATGAAAACTTTACATTTAGCTCACGATAATGTTCTGTTTCTACCTATTCAACAAATCATGCTATGAAAAAAAGTGAGCCTCCTTATAATCTGTAAATAGAGATAAGCTTGTTTTGTTATAGAGCAAATAAAGTTTTGCTAAAGCACATGGTCACATAAATGAGCAGCCAGTTGAGATTTTATGTAAATCTGTGGGTCGACTGATGTGTCACAGGAAACAGGTCCCTCCCCCCTGACTCATGCAGTAGCTGATAAAAGGATTTACCTTTATCTGAGCTTTTTGATGTTTTTTTTATTTTTTAAAGCAGAATAAATTGAACTTAAGCACAGATGAGGTTCTGTTAGAGATCTAGTTGCTCATAGGAGGCTTCACCCTGCACCGCCAGCCAATATGAATCTGCAGCGTCTGACTGCTGCTGCTTCAGCAGAAAGCAGAGGCTGTGGTGAAGCACGAGACGGGGAATTTCCCACCAACCCACAACGAAGGTAAAGCAAGACTGAAATGAATGATGGGTGTTGGAGGCAGCGCAGGCACGGTTCAAAACGACGGATGAGAAATCCGACAGCATATATGAGAAGTAAGCTATATGTGAAAGCTCTACAGTTCTGCTGCTGCACCTTCCAAACCACCCCCACTTTCCCTCTCTGCCCAGGAATCCAATGTGCCAAAAACGCAGCGCTGGTTTACGTACGGCTTTGGTCATGACGCCTCTCATGGTGCCCGAGAGGGCCGCAGCCATGCCGAAGCGGCCGTTGTTCAGGATGTTCATGGCCACCTTGAAGCCTCCGCCAACTTCGCCCAGAACGCAGTCGACCGGCACGCGCACGTCCTCAAAGTACACCTCAGCCGTGTTGGATGCCTTGATGCCCATTTTCTTCTCCGGTGGGCCACTGGGAGGAAAAAGAAAGAGGAAAAGTGAGTTTTCCTGCCATACCTTTAAAATTCCTCTTTCATGTTGTATAACATAAAAGAAAAGATGATATTTAATCACTCTTTTTTACACTGATCATGAAACCAAAAAGTGCCAATTTACATTTTTTTATCATTCAAAAACAACCATATTATTTTCAGTCTAAATGACCTGAAATCATTGGTCTGGATTCAATAAAGACACTTTAACTCTTTAGTTTTCAACAGTATCGATTCCCAACAAACCATTTTAAAGCACTTTAATTAACAATAGATCCCAAATACTCTCCAAAAAAAAAAAAATCAAATCAAAACACTACTTTCTAAATACTTTCTAAATACATGCTGGTTCTAATACGACACATTTAGGGTCAGTTTATGGAAATCCAGCATAACTGGGCTCAGTGTGAGCAACATCTGCTGCTACCAACCACTTAATGAGATCCTAAAGACACAGATACTTAAAGCCAATTTGGAAAAATGATGAAGCCTAATTTCAGCCTATTTAAAACTGTGAAGGAACCCAGTCTGAATGTTTAGAAGACTCACTGTGAGACGCCTCCAAAGCTCCTCTCCACGATGAAAGCTGTGATCTTATCCTTCATTTCTCCCGTTTTAGGGTCTTTCATTGGAGTCTTTGCAAATACTGTGAAGATCTCAGCCAAGCCCCCATTGCTGAGGAGAAAACAAACAATCATTGAGACATTGTCCAATCCTTGCTGTGTGACTCTATAAGTTGAGTAGTGCTGCCCTCTTGTGGTGAAATTGTGTCCAGCACCATGCAGGGGATTCCTCACCTGATCCAGATCTTGCTGCCATTCATAGTGTAGAATTTCCCGCAGGGCGAGAGCACAGCGGTGGTCTTGATGGAGGCGGCGTCAGAGCCGCTGGCCGGCTCCGTCAGGCAGAAGGCGGCGATGGTTTCACCTAGAAGGGGACACAGTCAGTAAAGTTTAACTAATAATATTCACAGTGCCTACAGAGGTTTCTGTTCAGATCTAGAGATTATAGATCATGATCCGGATCACCTGTGGCGAGTTTGGGTAGGTACTTCTCCTTCTGGGCTTTGTTTCCAAACAGCAGAATTCCCTTAAAGCCGATGGACTGGTGAGCTCCCAGGGTGATGCCAACTCCCAAATCGTGACTGCCGACGATCTCAACCAGACGGGCGTACTGGAGGGAAGATATAAACGTCACTTTAGATTTCTTTTTCTCAAAGTTTTCATTCATCCTACCATTTTCTCTCTAAAACCTCAAGGTAATAAAGATGCAAGATTTCAATTAAATGTGTCAAAAATGTGTTTTTTTTTATTTCACAAACTTTCAATGCAAAATTAATATCAATGAAATTGTTAGCACTTCAATATAATATCTTTAAACCAAATAAATTTGGTTTATAAGCCTTTTTGGTCTTTTTGTTTTGTTCCTAAAAACTGATCCTGGTCTTATAATAAGGGTTGCTCTGTATTCGGGTCGGTACGGTAATAGCCAATCATCCTACCTGGGTGTTAGAGAGGCCGAGGCCGCCCAGGTCAGCAGGAACCTGCAGACCGAAAGCCCCCATCTCCTTCAGACCCTCCATGGTGTGATCCTCCACCTTCTCAAGTTCGTCGTTCTTGGCCGGATCGTTCACCTCCTAAAAGAGAGGCTGCATGAAGGGACTGCATACGACGCAGAGAACCTGACGCCAAAGAATCTACACATTAAGGCTTTAAATCACCTCAAAAAACTTGCTGACTGGGCCCACGAGCTCCTGGAGGAACTGCTCTTGCTCCTCGTTCAGCGCTACAACACAGAGATAGCTCTGCTTAATTCATTTCTACGCCAAACTAACAGAAAATCCTGCCTATTGTGATGATGGGGTTACCTTTAGGGAAAGGAAACACTTGAGATGTTGCGATCTGTCCTTTGAACATGTTGACAGCAAATGATTTAGATTCCTGAGAGGAAAAATAAGAAAAAGAGATTAAAACCTTCAACAACAGGTTAAATCCTGGTTTGGTGATTACAAGCTTCATACAACAGCTGCTTTGGAGAATTTAATGTCCTTTAAGTTTACAACATTTCTGGCTACAGATGTGCTTTTCCCTGTGATGGATCCCTCAATTTAACAGGAATCAGGAAAAAAGAAACCTACAGCAGCGACGCTCTTCTTTTCCGCTTTAGCCGCAGCATCGCTGCCCACCGCCGCAGGCTTCTCCAACACGGCCTACGCAGAAACAGAGCAGAGAAGTTTACATCAACAGAAATTAAACAACCAATTAAGAGCCTTGAAGAGGAGCTAATACAGCATCTATTACTAGGCCGAATCTTGATATGCCATGATGGAAAAAAATATATAATAAAATAGGAGCAGGCAGCCAACTGTAGCAAAGGTGAGGGGAGAGAGAGAGAAGAGGTTAGTCCTGTAGGGTGATGATCGGTGTGTTCGCCTCTCTTGAAATTTCACTATTTATTTTCTTCTTCACCAAATCTCATTAGACAAGGACAAAAAGTATATTGGAATAAATTAGATTACGCCAATCTGAAGATAAGCGAGGAGAGCTAAAACTGTCATTTAGATTCGGTTAGATAAACCTGACATTTTAATATTGGCAAAGCAACTGTGTTGGTGCTCGTTGCTAACATACAACACACAAATTGGACGGAATTTAGAGTTCCTTATCAGAGCAGCAGTAATTATTAGTCCCTTCCTTGGCCTCCAACAACTGTATATAAATAAAAGCAAATCATTATGGTCCTGCTACTTTGAGCACTGCTGTGATTCATGCAAAGTTCCTAAACTCTTAAACTATTCTTCACATTTTCCAAGCTTTGGTTGGTTCCTATCGATGTTTACCTGAAGCCCTGATGTCTGATCCAGCATGTGGGCAAAGTTCATAGAACTCATCGTAACAAAACTTTTTAATCTGGGCTTTAACTTCCTTCTAGATCCCAGAGGTCATCAAATCAACCTTCAAAAGAGGTTTCCAGGAACAGCCATCTTTGACGCTTTTTTTTTTCTTTTTATTTAGTATTTTTTTCAAATTTACATTAAAACAAACAGACAAAAAAAAAATATGAATAGAAAAGGGCGATAAAAATACAGCAAAGGTATAACAGAGTCCGAGTTTAGTGAATGTGGGGGTCACACAAGTCTTAAAAAAAGGTTTATCTGTCGTTCAAGTCTTATTGAGGGTAAGTCCTTTCCGATTTGTATCAAATCATTTCCTCCACTGTTCTTTCAGGTATTTCTACTTGATCCTTAGGTGGGAGGTCATTTCCTCCATTGTGAAGATTTCCTCTACTATTAAAATCCATTGCGTCAGGTGTGGAGGGTCACTTTTAAACCATTTTCTGGTAATCGCTTTTTTAGCTGCCACCATCAAGATTTTGAGAAGATAGATGTCTTTCCGGTGTATTCCTTCACTCTCCAGCCAGCCCAAATACATTATTCATGGGTCCTTTGATATCTTGTATCCTATTATTTCTTCTGCAGCCTTAATATTATAATATGATGATAATTTTATATATAAAAAAAAAAGAACTGTAAATTTTTACCATTTTTTCAAGGCTGCACTTTAAAAAAGATGAAATTGTCCAGAGACCTTTTCCAAATGAAATTTCTTTTTGTTTTATACTTGTGTAAACAAAATGACAAATAAAATCTGTCCAAGTCTAATTGAACTCTGGTCTCATATTGGATAAGTTTACCTCGGCATTTAACCCATCCTTTTGGGGTGCAGTGCCCAGAGTTGCAGTCCGTGGGAGTCAAACTCAGAGTTCCAAGCCCAGTGTCCTAACCACTAAGCCGCCACTGCCCTAATAGGGGAGGTAATATCTTGCTATGTGACCTTGTACTGCAGAAGATCTGACAGGATAATTTCCCAAACCGATGTAAAGTAGTCACGCAATAAAATAT